TTTTAAAAAAAAAGCCATTTGGAGACTGACCAAATGACCAAATGAGGCAAAACTACATAATGAATATATGTATATCAATTCAGAACTGCTCTGCCCACCATAACACACAAGAAAAAACTATTTCTGAACAGCATTTGTAGTGTGGACTCATTTGGTTACCAGGCCTCCAAATGGCATTTTTGAAAGGACGCCTAAACTTTTCCTAAAATAAAAGCAGAAATAAAACATTTTTTAGGTAAAAACTTGCATAAAGTACATCTTTATGGTATTTTATTTAAAGAAAAGCTTAGGAAAAGTCATTTAGATCTTTTATTTCAAGAAAAGTCTAGGAATCCTTTCAAAAAGGCTATTTAGAGACTCCATATGGCACTGCATACTACATATACTACATAGATAGGCTATATGTATATCAATTCAGAACTCATCTACCCATGAAACCACACACAAACACAAAACTATACGACATTTGAACATTGTAACTAAACAGTATTTATTTTGAACAATTCTAATAATGAAAACAGTGAACCAAAACAGATTTGATCAGTGATCATTTTAGAGCTAATGAACAGACAAAACATGCAAAATAAAAAAAAAATGTCATTTGTAATTGTAATTTTTTTTCTCTGCTAATTATTATGAATATCCAGTTACTGAAAAACTAAAGCAACTATTTACAGTATTTACAGTGTAGGAAGACACTCAAGGCAGTCACTAAAAAGGTTTGTTCTCTGACCAACTGGATACCAAAGTCACTGAAACACAGGAAAGGGAGAGAGAGCGTGTAAACAAAACAAATCAAACTTGCAACACTGTACTTACATGTTGTATACACACACATAAACATACAAATACTCGTACACACACACACACACACACACACACACACACTCAACACACGCACGCACAAACAAACAAACACACATACTCAATATACATACACACGCACAAACATGCCTTCTTCAAATACTTCAAGTTTGAACACGCTCCTGTGTGTTTTTGTGTGCGCGCTTTGGTTTCGAATTACAAAACCAAAAGTTTCTATTTACAATGTGTTTTGCAGCTTTGTGTTTGTAGCCAATCACAGGCATCTCTGTTGAAAGCAGTGGCCAATCAGAGGTGTTTACTTTACGTAAATCAGAATCCGCTCTGATGTAATTTTTGTTTTCGCAAGTTTATGTAGTTCTACACACTCACATATCTTCCTATTATAATATCGTATAGTAAGCTCGGACAGTTGTGCCATAATGGAAGCGCCCTTTGCTCGGTGTCTCTTACACTACATTCACAGTTTGAAGAAAGGTTTAAGAGGACCGTCCACGTATACTGTTTCAGGAATGACAAAAGCGAGTGTAAAAAATTACGCGAGCGAATCCGCCAAATTTATCCGCCATTGACCGTATGGCATATAGCAATGGACCGCATGAACTATCTGACAAGCCGATGTCAAAACAGCTGTGCTGTAAGTGATGCAGAGTAAATTCAGAGTAACAAAACTACAGCAGCAACAAGTCTGTGTTGCCTTTAGTAGCTTCTACAGGTAAAATAACTTACAGCTCTCCTTTGATTTGTCCTTTTTAGGCAATGTTTGAAAAATTTTATTTTTAAATTAAATCTAAAAAAATGCCAAAATATTTAATGCATTATTTAATTATTATACCATTAATAATTAACTTAATTTGTAGTTAACTAGTTAAGTATTTATATAATTTACCATACTAGGCTGTTGGTATCTGGTATTGTATCTTCAGTATTGTATCTTCTGCCATAAAGATGAAGATTGATATTTTGTTAAAGAATAATTACTTCTTTTTTTTTTTAAATAAACAATTTATGTTCTATTATATGTGTTTTAACTACTTTTTGTATGTTGTATAACTATGTATCTAGGTAACGAAGATATATTAACAAAATAATTTTTTAGAAGGGCCTCATCTATTAATTTTGCCTGGGGCCCCCACTTCATCTTGGTTCGCCTCTGGGCGGGCATCAAGGGAGCAAGCTAGTGAAACGTTGCACGGCGCAAAAGAGAAGGTCTGCACAAATCCAAAAACTAATTTTAAATGCAAAATTGATTTTCGTGCGCTTGAAATACTTTCTTCTTTGCAAGACAAACATTTTCTCCACAAAACTCAGTTCGCGCGCGTGCAAAACGCACTTTTGCGGCGCTCAAAATATGATCTTTCACGTGCAGAATTGTGGCAGAGATGTAATCCCATACAAAATTCTTACCATATCTGCCATATAAAATACTATAAGAATAGCATAGCCTTTGTTATTCCAAAGCCTGCCTGCCTGCAAGTCAGTACATGGAAGTTAATGCGAATGATTAATTCTATTAATTTGTTAGAAGTAACTTAAAATAAAAGTAGCTATATTCAATTCACTAATTTAAATTTGTTTAAACAGTTTAAAAAAAATAACAGCACCCTGTTGTCTTGTTTGTATGGCAGGTTGACTGTTGTAAAGAATATCTGCAGTGACATTTTGGCAAAGTATGCAAAAAAGAACAACGAATGTTTAAATCAATCTTGAATTTGTTTTGTTTAAAAATAAACATTGAAAAGTAATAACACTAGAATACACAGATTTTTGTGAATAGAAAAGTTTGGGGGCTTGTATTATTGATTTGGAGGAAGGGTTAGAACCACTGCTCTAAAATATGTATAATCCTTCAGTTAATGGGCTCCCACAGAGTTGTCACCACAACATCTGGCCTTGATGCGTGTCTAATGGTTGCTAGTTACTACGAACGTGTTTATTATAAACTACGTCTTGTGGGAACTGATTACTCGAGCTATTTTTTCTAACAACGTACTATTTAGACCAGTGCCATGCTGCAGAGGGTGCTATTCGCTTTTCTCACTCTCAACTCTTTTCAAGGGTAACTATAATAATATACAGTACTCTGATCAAAGATCAGACTTCATGCAATCCACGACAGCCTCAAAATAAAATGTGATCTCGACGAAGTCTGTCTAGCCAGGAGGGATTACCTCAGTCCGACTCCTAGAAGTAAAGCTAAAAATGGTGAGATTAAAATGTTCTCACATCGTTGGAGTTTCTAAAAATAGCCAGGCGTCGCAGAATGATGAGGATTCAGCAGCGCATCAGTAATCCAGCTGAGGCAGTTGCTAGATTGCCATAAAAATCACATTTGATCTACCTGACACATCGGTCGCTCGCTCAATGCGCTCAAGTTACTATAGCAATAAGAAACGTTCGCTCGCTACGTTTGGCTGAAGTTGACAGGAGTATCTCCGCCCACTGCTCAATGAGATGCGAATATCTACATCTGCTGCTACCAAAAGAGCATTTTGTTCACAAACCCAACCCTCGTAATTCAGGATGTTTGGCTTTGTCACACGCCGGGGAGGACAAAATGCAGACAGAGCGGAATCTCAAAACAACAACAACACTGTGATGAATATATTATAATTTGCGACTTCATTCTCCAACTCATCGAAAATGGGATTTCTTCACCAGCTGCACCTTCTCCTGTGGAAAAACGTGACTTTAAAGCGGAGAGGACCGGTAAGAGGGTTTTTGTTTATATGTGTCGCGAGTATTTTTTTTTAATTATTTTAATTTAGGCCTTGATGGGTTTTTGTTTTGAGCAGGCGGGCGTCAGTCAGTCACGTTGATGTATTGCAAAACATTGAGCATACAGACAAAATAATATGTTACTCATGGCTTCGGTGTTACAGTTTCATCACGATCTGACCTTCTAAATGCTTCATAATTTTCACATCTACCTAAACAATGTGGGCGGGCGGAACCGCTTATCTGAAAGGAAGTTGTGTTGACAGTCGATCACCTACTAACAGGTTGTTTACGAAACTACAGGTTGTTGTCTGAACAATCTGTTGGTTCGACTATGACCACACAGGTTGCCGCTAAACAACCTGTTAGCAGGGTGATATATTATTACCAGCTGCTGACGTTGAGGGGGGAAAAAATCCATTTTATCTCTGAAGTGTATATCAGTGTGTTCAAGCTCAGCCCCTTTTAAAGTTCAGATGCACTTAAACAAATATTGCATATGCAAAAAGTATGGTTTATGACATGTCACTGGCCTTTAACTCTAAAGGAAATATGATCCTGGTGCTTCAAGGACTGAAGTAGCCTACTGTACAGCAGTCTTATACCAGACGACAAACGATTATTCTTATTGAAACAAAGTAGTTCTGTCATTTTTAACTCCACATGGCTAATTTTGGCATATCTGTTAGAGTAGAGTAACCTTTATTTTTATCCTTGTGGGAGGGGAAAATGCAACGTTGCAGCACCAAAATACTGAATCTGGGCCCAGTTGCAACAAACTCCCTAAGTTTAGAAAACCTTTATGTAAAAACCCAAATGTAATAGGTTTTATTACAAAGAGCTACAACTGGCCAAAGAGCAAAAAGCGGTTTCAGTATACAGTGGTGTCCAAAGTCTGAAACTACCTTAAAAATGTCGTATTTAGAATTTAGATTTTTCAATTCTTTATTTTCATACTGTAATTAAAATAACTTTTTCATTTGTAGTCTCAGACTTTTGGACCCCATTGCACACACAATATGCAGTGTACTGAGAAATATGCATTGTGCCTACATATATATTCACAAAATACAAAATGAGCTAGAATATAGGCAACATATTAATTTAGATGAATGTAATATAACATTAATCTTAAAGCAAACCGGTAACTAGGGTTGTGAGTGATAGAGCACTACAAAAATGTATGTACAGGGCATGCTATTTGTTTTCCATGTATGTGCATGCTACAGCAGCCTTATACCAGATGACAAAGGGTTATTCTTACTGAATGAAAGTGTTATCTTGTATTTCTGTCATTTTTACCTCCACAGGGCTAATTTTGGTATGTTTGTAGGGGTAGACTACTTTTTTTTTTTATCCTTGTGGGAGGGGAAAATGCAATGTTGCAGCATCAAAATGCTGTATCTGGGCTCAGTTGCAACAAATCCCCTAAGTTAAAAAAAACCTTTATGTAAATATCCAAATGTATTGGTTATTTTTACCTATTTGCATCTGGCTGCAGGGGAAAAGGACATTTTCAGTATACAGTGGGATCCAAAAGTCTTAAACCACCTTAAAATGTGGTATTTTGATTTTCAGATCAAATTTTATGTTGATTTTTCAATTATCTTTTCCCTAACTAATTAGAATGCTTGTAATATAATTTGTAAGGACATTTTTTTTTATATAAAAATGTGAAATGGATACATTTTCATTAGAGGAAACATTGCAATGTAATTAAAATATAGCCTATATGAAAATATAGTACTGAAAAATTTACATTGTGTATATTTGCAACATTCATTTAGATGTAATTTGCAAGACATTCCTTTAGATGTTTAATTTAAATATTGAATAATAGCATTAATATTTGAAAGCTCTCTTAAGGCCCATTCACATCAAGGCCATAATGATAATGATAAAGATATAGTTTTAAAAATCATTCTAAATGTAAAATAATAGCAGAGTCCACACCACAACTATAACGATAACGGAGGAACAACATCGTTGGAATCACATTTACAATTATTTTTTTCCAGCTTATGAACAACAGAAAATTGACAGCCAATCAGAATCTATCCTGCTTCAAAGAGCTTGACAAAACTGCAGTGTGCGCTTATAGTGTTATGAACAGACCATAATTGTGCATTGGGGTGGATGCAAATATGGTAATCATTAGTTATCTTTATAGTTATCGTTCTTGGTGTGAACGGACCTTTAAAGCAAACTGGCTCATAACTTGGAGTTTCTGGGCGTAATATAGCACTCTAAATATTTATATAAAGGCAAGGCCATTTTTTTATTGTATGACTAAATGTAGTAGCATTTTAAGAATGCTTGTAACTTAATCCTTATCTTTATCATATCAGCTTTCTGTTACTGTGAAACCAAATCTGGTATTGAACAGAAGTGGGCTCTCAAGAGCCTTGTCCTAACACTCAATTAGGAAATAAGCCACACTACTTTGAGCAGCGTTTTGACCTCGAGAAGATACTTAATTACTAAGCATTGTTCCTATCTTTATGAGCCTCACTGCTCCATTATGTTATTTTTAGAAGCAGTAGCATTTTACAATAGCTCACGTTTGCAGCAGACGTCAGGGTCCCTGGAGGTAAGGATCACCGCGTTAAGAATAGTAACATTTACGTCACTGCGCCAGTTTGATCACATAGGTCCATTTCAGAGGGAGTTTGAAGGCTTTGTAGGACCCTGGGAAGTGGCTAGTCAGCAAAAGGTTTAGCCCGCTCTGTCCTGTGGATGCTAAATGAATGAGGTCCAGTGAGTTCAGCTCTCCACTGGCTGCCTGCCTTTATTGGTTACTCACTGCTGATATGTCAGTGGTGAATGCTGTCAGCTCTTTGTCAAGAGTGTGTGTGGTTTGAATGGTGTTGGGAGTGCAGGTGTGTTCAGCTGTTTGTCAGAGATAGAGCTTTTGCTGATTTGATGATGTAGTTCTGATTAACTGGGCAGTTGATGGAGATGCAGTTGGTGGTTAACAGCTTTCCCCTAATGTTTGCAGACTGATATGTTGATTTGATGGCAGTTATATTCAAAGCACTGTCATAAAATCCCTCACAGCAGCTAAATGATAGCTTGTTTGTCTCAGCTGTCCGAATCCCACATACATTTCTCTATAACCCAGTCACAATATTTGATCAAGCATAAATGGCTCTCCATATTAAAGACCTGGCTCTTAAAATTAGGACTAAATGGCCAAATTCCAGAATCGCTTAGATAAAGTAAAAATAGTGCATTGACTTTACATGATCCTTTGCTGCAGTGAATTAAATTTAAATTGAAATGCACTATGTTTGGTTATTTAGACTAGCATGTCGTCCTAATTATGTTTAGTCAAAGACTATAGAATACCCAAGACGTGTCACTCATATAGTTTTGAATGGGGAAAAATGCAAAGCTCAATATGGCTGCTCAATCGCAGGAAGCTCTGCCTTCTGAATGAAGGAGCCAATCGCTAATCGGTAAAGTCAGCACGTCACTGCAGCTGCCGTTAGAAGTCCTGGTTGCTATTGAAACAGTCAGCGTCCTGAGACATGCGCTCAGGACTGCGAATGCGCACTGGCTGATCTAGCCTGAATAATAAGCTTTTTATAACGCTATTTGAGCAAAATAAACAACATTTATGACACCGTTGATATCTGATTTCTTTGGTGATTTCAAATATCAAATTTAATCGCAAGCTTAGTGAACAGTTTTGTAGAATTTGATGTTTCCCCATTCAAAGAGATAGGAGTTGCACTTGCATGCCCGAGAGGCGTTTCAAAGATGGCCGCCGAGTGACATGACTTGTCTTAAAGGAACTTTGGTTTAGTTTAAACTTGTATTCCAATTTGATGATGTCACAGTGATTATGATTGTATTTGTGTGTTTTGTAACTCTGTTTTGTAATGTATTTCCGCCTGCTAAAATGCAAGCCTGCTAAAACTACAAACCATAAATAATATTTTTTTAATTGGAAAACTTTTTATTATAAATTCTGTTCTGAATGTGTAACTTTAATAAGGTCATATGAACAACCAACTGGCAAAAACCACATCACATTTATGACTGACAGTTTTTCACATTAGACATTGTGTTTCATTCAGTCAGTTGTTGGATCGATTCAGTGTTCATTTTTGAGATCAAGACAGAATCCGCTCATCAAGGCCATGTTTTCATGAATCATGGTTTGTTCTGTGTTGTGTAATGCCAGTAAGATTTTTGCTACATGTGCGGCAGTCTGGAGCCTTGCTTAAACCTTCTTCCCCACTAGACTGGGTGCCTGTTTTTCTTTTTTAACAAAGCGATATCTCCACCTCCTGCCCATCATAAAAAAAAAATCCACATTTCATAGTCTGTGTTATGGATTGTGTTACAGTCCCTGTTTGAAGGTTAGATGAACATTATTAACCCAAAATTGGTCTTTTAATGCACTGGCTGCCTTTACCTTATGCCAAGTGCAACACAGGCTGACCTACTTGCTGCGAGCTTCAATCCCTGAACAATTGGTTGAAGCAGGGACAGGCTAAACTGTCTGCGTATCTATGGAGACAGAGATAGAAAGCAAGAGAGATAGATGGATAAAGCGAGTAAGAGAAAGAGTCAAGACACAGACAGCAGTCTGATAACCGGACAGTCATCAAGAGAGCGGGTTATTGTAATGGCAGCTGTCTGAATTATGCATGCAGACTAGGGCTGCACGATAAATCGCATGCGATATTTAACGCGCATCTCATCAGTAAAGCCGTTTCTGTAATCAGCGGTAAATCTCCATCACCTGCGTGCCTTCACATTGAGCAGCATTAACTACACAGAGCCGTTGTTCACTGACGAGCTGCGCAAAAAATCGCGCGAATATGAACGTGGTTTCATAATTTACTCAGGAAATTTACCCCCCACCCCCCATGTCATCCAAGATGTTCATGTCTTTCTTTCTTCAGTCAAAAATAAATTAAGGTTTGTGAGGAAAACTTTGTAGGTTCATTGCAGTTTCAATTCCACTTGAAAGGGCACTA